GGATAGGCTTTAAAAAGACACCAGTTTACTAAGCCAGCTTACTAGGCTGAGAGTAAAACTGGAAGGGTATTGGTTTAGTGTATTAGCTCTCGCCTGTCACAGTATACAGATGAGGAAAAACTGAAAAATTGATTAAAAGGAGACCTTCACTGAGAAAAACGCGAAGAATGCCATTGCTGAAGCCGTATCTGAAAATGTTAGTTGCCAAGTTTCATTACTTTCTGCTTTGCTGGCCTGGACCAAACAGGCACCGTGTTAAACTGCCGTGAAGTCAGAACATCTGATCCACATACTCGTTCTCAGCAATTGTTGAAACCACTGGATCAACATGACACTGCCAGACAACTAGCATTTTTAGAAGGGGGAATAAGCAGTGGCAGCACTGGTTTCTCTTAAAAAGGCAGGATTTACAAATATGAATTCATCATTCTTCATTACCATGAACATTAAATTAATTATCCACAGGGACGTGAAGTGCATCCCCATTTCACATCAATCTATACACAATTCATTTTCATACACTTACACGCCTTATAATGGCAGAGTATTGCTGTATACCTCTCTTCAAATAAATGGCTATGAGGGCAAGGATCTGATTGACTGTATGCTTAGCATAGAGGGTTTAATATTTCATCAAGGTATGACAAATATTATACTGCCCTTCACATTCAAAGCAGAAATTTAATCTTAGATTTTACCTTCTCTGGCTCCTCCTTTTCCCTCTCATCAACAAACCATTATACATTTTTAGTAAAAAACTTTCCATTACATACTTATTGTTTTAGATCCGGTGACATCATTTTGTCTCTGTGCCTCTCTATGCAATGCAGGCAGATCATGGCTGATGGCACAGGCCAGAAGGGTACTGTACATAGCTTTCTAAACTGCCTCAATGTCCCTCTCAAGAGATGAAAGCAGTGGGCTTAGAATGAGTTATGCAAATACTTTGATGGGTGGAGTGCAGGAGTGGGTATTCCTAGGCAGACCGTGTTTGCATGCAAACCAACCTAGGTGGTACCCACATATGATGCTGAGCCTCTATGGCTGAAATAACTGAAATCCAATGAATGAAAAGGAGTGGGCAAGGGACAGTTATGCTGCGTAGGGAAGCGCCATGACGTCCTCTAGCCTGGAAATGTGGAGGGATCTATGTAAATTGCTCTCTCATTTATAATGCACACTTAGAAAAGTTCAAAGATCAAAGGAAGCAATTTCAGTACTGGAGAGGAGCCTGTACAACTGTGCAACACTGAATGGAAGGCTGAAGTTCAGCTTTAAAGCAGAAATCTAGGCAAGCAGCAAACCTTTTTTGTTACCTTTGGATCAGGGGCAGACTGTTCATTTGGGAACTCGGGCACTGCCTGAGGGTCCGGGGTCAGTAGGGGGCCCCATGAGATGGATGCCCCTGGTACCTTTCATAGGCTTTTTTGGGTGTGGTTTGAGTGTGGGTGAGGACACAGGGGCCCATGATCCTCTATTGCCTGGGGGCCCCATGAGTTGTCAGTCCGCCCCTGCTTTGGATAGAGTAGGGAAGGTTCAAGACCACATTCAGTTTTTTCTTCTGTTTGCATCCCATCAGAGAGATTTCTCTTCACTACCTGCCCCAGAGACTCAATAGGAAAGCCCTCTAAGACTTCATTTAGACTCGTGGTTGAGCCATATTTTTTCCGCCTGCCCCCCCCCCCCCCCCCTTAAGCCAAAATAGACTGTCGGACGGGGGTGTTTACATGCTTTGCTTCATGCCCATGGTAAAGTTTACCCAACATGTAGTGACACATTCTGCTCCTGCCAGGAGCCTCTGAAGCGCGATCCGAAAACAGGCGGGGCTTCACAGGAAAGGGACACACCTCTAAAACTACATTAAATCCCAGTTCACACTACTGCGGTGCGGGAAACTGCATGTGATTTAGATAGGAATCGCTCCGCATTCCAGTTCAAGTCACATGCGATTCTTTGCAGTGCAATTTGAGCCCTTTATGTATTGCGTAAATCACACCGCAAATCACACTGCACCCGCACTAAAGGTCTAGGAGCCCTTTTTTTTTTTTCCAGCACTGGTATCGGATTGTATGGGTGTTCACACCCATGAAATCTGATTTAGGCAATTGCATTAAGTTTTTCGAACCGTTTTTGGGGTGTCATTAACTTAGCATAGACACCTGCAGCGGAATGCTATTGTGATACGGTGCAGTAAACGCACAGGAATTGCTGCGAATCCTGCACCACATCAGTGTGTCCATTCACACCAGGGGCAATTGGACTGCTTTGAGTGGCTATTCCAATGCAGTCCCACCACAAGACAAAGCACAATTTCTTGTCTCCGGTGTGACTGGTTCACTCTACTGTGTTGGGGTGGTGTGTGGGCGGCATGCATGAAAAAATTTTGCATAAGCATATGATGTCATACATCCCAGGAATCTCCAGGAGGGGTTTTCTCAGCTAAGCACACCCTCATCCCTGTGTGCCTGAGCTAAGGGCAGATCAATTCCAGGAAGTAAATGCTACATTAACCTGCCCTTACTCAAGATGGCCAGAAATGCTAGGGGGGTGTTTTTAAAAGCGATTTCTCAACAAAATAAAGCATGGAGACATGGATGGATGAGTTGGCTTTGAATAATAAAGAGGAATTAAATAGCTATTTTGTTTGTGGTGCTCAGATGTTCTGCTTTAATAAATGCATTAGCTACTCTTATATAATGTCTGCCTAGAGTTCAGCTTTAAACCTGTACCAAGAATAAAATGTATATGTTTGCCACCAGGGCAGTCAGAAAACCAGATCTGCATACTCCTTTAGGATTGGTTCTTTACCCCAGGTTCACACTTAAACGTTTTCCGCAGAGTTTCGCAGAAACGCAGTACAGTCCATGTAACATGATTTCCTATGGGACATGTTCATGCATGTTTTCACACTGTGCGTTTTTTTGTAAAGGGTCAGGGACTTTGAGTGCAAAAAGTTGCGTTTGTGGTTCTATAGGACTTCAATGGAATCACTGTAGAAAAGCATGTAGTGCGTTTTAAATCTGCCTAGCAACAAGGAAAAAAAAAAAGAAAAAAGAAAAAAACGTGTTAAAAAGACAGGTGCAAAAATACAAAACGCAATGCAGAAACGGCTCAAACACAACCTGCATAGGTGTGAACCTAGCCTTATAAAGGATTGAAGCCAGGGGATGAGCATGAATGCAGGTCTGAAGGTATGCAGCTGAATACCTACAGATCATAGGCACAGAATTAGGTGTAATCAACAGCACTACATTCACCTTGACCCAATACAGAGAATGGGTGTGAGTGGTTAGGGGATCACTGAGAATGGGTGCGAGTGGTTTAGGGGATCACTGAGAATGGGTGCGAGTGGTTTAGGGGATCACTGAGAATGGGTGCGAGTGGTTTAGGGGATCACTGAGAATGGGTGCGAGTGGTTTAGGGGATCACTGAGAATGGGTGCGAGTGGTTTAGGGGATCACTGAGAATGGGTGCGAGTGGTGAGGGGATCACTGAGAATGGGTGCGAGTGGTGAGGGGATCACTGAGAATGGGTGCGAGTGGTGAGGGGATCACTGAGAATGGGTGCGAGTGGTTAGGGGGATCACTGAGAATGGGTGCGAGTGGTTAGGGGGATCACTGAGAATGGGTGCGAGTGGTTAGGGGATCACTGAGAATGGGTGCGAGTGGTTAGGGGATCACTGAGAATGAGTGCGAGTGGTTAGGGGATCACTGTTGAATCCCTAGTGTCCAACTTGCAGCCCTCAGACTGCAGCAATCAGTAGTTGGAGTGTGAGCATGGATTTGTATTAGAGTACTAGCAAGATCTCTACTAGCCATGTGTAATATGTCACTAATCTCTCACGGTCTCCTGCACCATGTCTTTAACCAAACCTGTAGCAGGTCTCCAGTCTCCGACTACCATTTTGCTCTAGTGTGTACACCGTCTTCTCTAGAATTACCTACACTGGACATTACGTGCTTCCTTTGGTGAAGTAATGAGTCACAATCAGGGGCGGACTGACAACTCATGGGGCCCCCGGGCAATAGGGGATTATGGGGCCCGTGTCCTTGTCCAAACTCAAAAAAGCCTATGAAAAAGGTACCAGGGGCATCTCATGGGGCCCCCTACTGACCCTGGGCCCTCGGGCAGTGCCTGAGTTTCCAAATGGTCAGTCCGCCCCTGGTCACAACTGACATCCCTTTAAAGTTGTAAACCCTTACATATATCCAGTGAAGTGACAAGCCTAAGGTAATACACAGACATGAAACAAATCCTCCTCCATAGGTTGTACTTGTTAATCTGCTGCAGCACTCTCTCCTCTATAGCCATTCAAAGCGCAGAATTTATATAACTTGTCTGAGCTTTTAGAAAGCAGGGGGTGGGAAGCTGAAGTTACACTCTGCAAATCTCAGTGAGAAGAGCTGAAAGCTGTTTGGAGGTAATGGACACCCCCCTTTCCCTTCACACAGCAACAGAGTTGAGACTGTCAATCACAGGCTGTGTGCTGGAGCTCCCTCCCCTGTCATTTTTTTAGCTCTAGGTGTCAGAAGTGACTCATACAGAGGAATGAGGCAGCAGACACTTAGCACTTTGGATTGAGACAAGTACACACTATAGAGGGACATAATGTACTTTGTTCATATTTCATGCCAAAGGTGTACAGCCACTTAGGTGTATATATATATATATATATATATATATATATATATATATATATATATATATATATATATATATATTATTCCCCTTTTCCTGTGTGGTTACCAAGGCAGGACGTAAATCTCCTCAGCAGGGACAAAGACAGAAGAAAACCTAACACCTCCCACCTCTGTCCAAAAGTTAAAAAAAAAAAATGGTTTGGGCTATAGCTGGCCTCTGATATCCAGGGTAAAGTATCAATCATCACAATCACTTCAACATTCTAGCCATTCATGTATAAAGAGGTTTACCAATACAATCCCCGGCATTTAATGGGGCCAGTCTGCTCTTTCAGTGCATCCTGCAGCGATATACAGGTCTTATTTATCCTGCTTAGGCTTGTTGTATATCAAGAAGTCTGAGATGTCATGCCAAATGTTGCTGTCATCATATAGATACGTCATGGAGGACTGCAGCGAGGGCTGGAGAGTATGGCGGTGGTATTCAAACAGCCAGAGCACAATTCCCCACACCAGGGCTGAGAAAATAGGGAAGACATCATACTTGGGCTCCGGGATGATTCCCTTCTCCACTGCCAGCCGGGACAAGCCGAAGAGGATCCGAGACAACAAGTACATGTTTATCTGCAAGACACAGCAAAAGGGTGGGGGGGGGGGGGGTTAGATTTAATGCCACAGTCAAAGGGAAAAGCATTTGTGATTTTGGTCTACGACGTCATAAACGGCCATTTTCATCATAATTATGTTATTAATTTAATATTTAGACTCCCATTTATACTATATTAGGAGCTGAGTGCATTTCAACAAGTATTTTGCTGCATTTGCAGCATTTGTAAAGAGATAAAACATAGGGAAATGTGCATCAACTGCACAGAGATATAGTGCATCATTTTTTTTTTTGGCCAGACATAAAAATGGAGGGAGACAGTACAGTTACAATACAATTCAAGGGGAGAAAAAGCAGGGTTGTCAGGGGAGAAAAAGCAGGGTTGTCAGGCAGAGAAGTTGTCAAGGAAGTTTGATATCGGCCCAGAAGGCCAATGGATCACCGCATTCCACAAAAACTGTAGAAACTAGACAAATACAGTGAGCTTTAAAAGAGCAGAGGGACAGAGGAAGGGGAGAGAAGAGCCTAAAAAGGTGCTTTGCAGGGATTCAGACTTCCCCTCCCTTTCATCCACTGGGGCTGGATGAGTGAATCCAGTGAGACCACCATGGAAGAGGGCAGCTGGAGAGACAAAGTCAGATTCTTGAAGCCAGGTTTCAGTAACAGCAAGTAGGTTAAAGCGGAGGTACAGTCACAATATAAAAAGTCAGCAGCTACAAAAACTGTAGCTGCTGACTTTTAAAAGTCATCTGTCGCTCTATCCTGCAGTATCCCCACTGCAGCTGGTTTCACCGGCTGTCCTCCTCTCTCCTCAGTGCCGGCATATTCAGCGTGGGCACCCAGCCGTGACAGCTTGCGGCTTCACAGCCAGGTGCCCACTGTTCATGCACTTTCTGAATGGTCCCGAAATCTTCTGGGACCTGTCACGTGTCCCAGAAGACTGGTGGGGGGGGTTGGACAACTTCCACTTCGGAATGCCTAGGTGAAAGTGGGAGCGTAACCTGTTAAAATCGGGTACCCGCTCCCCCAAGCCTTAAAGTGGAGCTTCCCCTTTTGGGTGGAGCTTTTTGTACAGTTAGAATGCATTACATATCCTTGACTTTGCTCACATAGGCAATGTCATCACACCAGTAAGCTCACTCCCCAGCATTCTTCATCGACATACTGCTGCCATCTGCTTTACATCTCTCAGCCTTTTGTGGGGCTGAAATATGTATATATCCACAATTCTGTTCTAACAGCCCCGTCATTTACAGACCTCCGCCATACTGTATAGCTTGCACACTATACAAAGTTCTGCTTCTTCCAGAGTTACTTCCCTGTGCTACAATGCTGAGTCCTAGTATGTGTATGTATGAATGTGATTTAGGGACCTTAGATTGTACACTCCTTGAGGGTTAGGGACTGATGTGAATGTACAATATTTATGTAAAGCGCTGTGTAAATTGACAGCACTATATAAGTACCAGGGGCCAAGTTTATGGCCTCTTGACTGGCTGGCAGGGGATGACATCATCCAGTTCATGCACACAAGAGTCAGTCATCTGGAATGGAGTGTGCCTGGAATGCATGCTGAGCTGCGCATGAACATTCACAACACAGTGTACATTCAATAGAAAATCATGAGCAGGCAGGTTAATGTGTATTACTGCAGAACAGACATAACTAATCCCTAATGTAATAAAGAGCTACCTGCTCACAGTTTTCTACAAGTTAGGTTTAGTTATTATAAACCTAGCCCCAGAAGACGTCTTGATGATGAAACGCGTCGGGAGGAGCCTCCCTCTGACGTCATTGCGCTGTTGGCCATCTTTGGAAGTGTTTTTCATTATTCCTAAGCCTGCAAGTAGGATTTTTATTTGCGCAAATAAAGGCTTATCAAACATATTGCACTATGAGAAGTATGCTTTATCTTCCGTGACACTATTTTGGTATCGTATTGAGGAGGATTCACTGATGTTGGTGGAGCTCACATCCTGATTTGCGAGGTTTGGGAGTTCTTTGATTCCGACATGGCATGGAAATCTGGATAATACCTTACAACGCAATGCTGGTAAACACTCCCTATAATTAAGGGTTCTGGCAAGCCTCCATTTATTCACATGGTGGTGGTGCACATATTGGCGAATAATTGGATGTAATAGGATTCACAGCAACAATATCACATCTGGAGATCAGCTTCACTATTGATTGTGGAGCTCTGTATCTACACAGACTGTCTTTTGTATAGGCTATACATGTCACTATTTATTTGTATTTTTTCACTAATTTGATCACTTTTCATAGATACGAGTGATTTCACAATGAATATGTGTGGTTAGGTTTGTAACATTGTTATACAGATCGCAATATTTTATTTCTTATTAGTTATTTTAAGGCACACAGTAGACTGACAGTAGATTTTACTTGCCGACTGGAATTGCCCATCCATTGGGTTAGCCTTACCTGGCTATTGATGTGATTATTCTCTCCGAATACCACCCATCCGCCCACACAAGCTGCCAGGAAGGAATGGAACTGCCATTTGCTTCCATGTATTTTCTCCTGGGCTGTCAAGAGGCTCTTATATGTGAAGACGAAATAAGCAAGATTCCGCGAATGAGTGAATGTCGCCTGGAGGATGGCTTTCAGCTTGTCTATAAAACTAGGGAAACACAAGGTTAAGAATTAAAATTTGTTTTTTAAAAATAGCCAATGGCCTATTTACATTTGTTAGGTGTCTTAACCATTTGCCCTCCAGAGGATTTACCCTCTTCACTGACCAGACCATTTTTTACAATATGGCGCTGCGTTACTTTAACTGACAATTGCGCAGTCATGCAATGCTGCACCCAAATTAAATTTATGTCCTTTTTTCCCCCGCAAATGGAGCTTTCTTTCGGTCGTATTTGATCACCTCTGCATTTTTTATTTTTTTGCGCTATAAACAAAAAAAGACCGACAATTTTGAAAAAAAAAAATATATATATTTTTGACTTTTTGCTATAAAACATATCCAGTAAAAAAAAATTTAAAAATAACATTTATTAATAAAATTTAGGCCAAAATGTATTCTGATACATGTGTTTGCTAAAAAAAAAAAAACAACAACAATATATGTAAATTAATTGATTTATGTGAAAGTTATAGCGTCTACAAATGGCGATATATATACTGGAGTTTTTATTTTAAATATTTTTATACTAGTAATGGCGGCGATCAGCGACTTATAGCGGGACTGCGGTGGGCATTCTGACACTGGATGGGAACTGACTGTCACTGACATCTCAATGACACCAATACAGTGATCAGTGCTAATAAAAAACACTGACACTGTACTAATGACACTGGGCAGGAAGGGGTTAACATCTGGGGTGATCAAAGGGCTAATTGTGTGCTGTTTAACATAATGTGCTGTGTGTGTTTTACTAAGGAAACATGCTGCTGTGCAGAGAAATACACAGCAGCATGTTGTCGCTGGCAGGAGAGAGACCTGTGTTGTTTACACATAGGTTTCTCCCCTGTCACCGTTTCTCAGTGATAACCGGGTGCTGGCAGAGAATCTCCAGACAGGACCCGGTGATTGACATCTGTAGCCGCCAATGGCGACACAGGTAGGACGGCACGCGCATGCGCCCCCTACCCGGAACTGCAAATCACAAATATGTATGTGACTTTGCACAGCCCTGCTGCCCTGTAGCAGTATTTCTTCTATGGGGCAAGTGGTTAATGCAGGTACGCCAACATGTGTTATGTCATATATTAACGCACATTGCATTAAGGCAGCGGATTGAAATCAGACAAATCACAACATTTTTGATGAAACATGCTGCTCCACAAACTGTGACAGATGCTTAGCACATCATTAAAAAAAAGAGTAGCGAGTGTTAATTGCTTTTCAAAGTGACTTTGCCATTAGAATACAAATATTTTAAAAGTGCCCCTGCAAAGAAGTTAATACTTACTTCTCCCACTGCCCATACTATTGATCTTCCCCGGCTTTAAGTGGAGCTAAACTTACCTTTTCTTCAAAACTGGGTGCCAGTTTTCAGCTGTCTTCATTGGCCAGCATGGGATAACATCACTCCCATGCACGCACAGGAGTCACTCATCCCAGAACACAGGGACCATGCCAGCGATGTAAGCTGTGCATGATCAGCTCAGCTTACATGCCGCAGAAGACAGCGAGCAGGAAAGTAGGTGTATTTTATTGCAGAGGAAATATTGCATGTCTCTTCTAATATAAAGAACCTGCCTGCATTACCACCTCTTCGTGTCCGGCCGATAAACAGCTGGACGTTTATAAACATCACCCCGCATTCATTGCCTGTGCGCGCTCCCTGATCGCGGTACAGGACTTCTGTGTGAGGTCTCAATCATGTGATCACTGGTTGGCCAATCAGTGATCACATGAATAGTAGCAAACGAGATGTCACTTCCTGACATCACTGCTTACTACTTGTGAAATCTGTGAATGATCACAGAGGTCACATGGTACAACGCTATTCACAATGGCTTGAACCATGTGACAAGCTGTGACCAATCACAGCTCACACAGTATTTCTCAATGGCTGCAAGAATGCAGGCAGAGAAAATTATAAATTATTGCTTTTACATCCATTATGGGTGTAAAAGCAATCAGTGTAAAAAAAAAAAAAAAAAAAAAAGAAATCATCAGCACCCCTCACAAATAGTACAGTGTCACTATGGTGACAATGTACTGCTAGAGTGACAGTATGTACAAAAAATAAAAAAAAAACAAATAATAAAAAAAAAAAAAATGTGAAAAAAATGTTGAAAAATTATAATTTTTGGTTATCAACTAATTTGGGTTATTTTTTTTTTACTAAAAAGATAGATGAATACATTTTGGCCAAGAGTTATGAAGAAAGATTATTTATTTGCAAACTTTTATAAGAAAACCCTTTTTTTTCCAAATTTGTGGTCTTTCATTTATATAGCAAAAAAATAAAAATCCCAGTGGTGAATAAATAACACCAAAATAAAGTTTTCTGTCTAAAAAAAAATGCTAAAAATTTCATATGAGTACAGTGTTGCATGACCACGCAATTGTCATTCAAAGTGTGATAGCACTGAAAGCTGAAAATTGGCCTGGACTGGAAGGGGGTGAAAGTGTCCGGACGTGAAGTGGTTAAGCTATCCATAGCTTGAATCTCCTCCTGAACAAGGGTGGCTCGGAAAAACTCAACTGAAAAATCAAAGGAACTGTGTGGAAAATTGTCAGCTGAACAGTGACTTCATCCAATCAGATGCAGTCACTGTTCGGGTATTCCAGTGGCAGCTGTTAGCATGGATAAAGGAATTGAATGATTTTCTCTTGTTCAGCCTGCAGGTTGAACAAGAAAAATGTAGCCATGTATTGCTAGCTGTAAAGAGCTTTAGTGGCTGAAGAATCCTACAAGTGTCAAGTACTCGATCCCTCGATGTGCTCAGTGATTTGATCTGCTGCTCTCTATGTCACTACTATGTCCTGTACTAATGTTGGGGCCAGCGAGAGGAACCACAGTGTGAAGACCAGAACACTGACACCCCTGGAAATGTTGAACACACTTATGCTAGCCCATACACGGCTTAAATTTCTGCTGAATAGGTGAAAATACAAGCACTGGGTGGCCCTGCTAACACCCTCTGGCTCAACAGGCATTGACTGAGAAATTTAATGAGCCAGTCAGAAAAGAAGTTGGCCAAACAGTGCAAGATTTGTCCATCTGCACATTTTTTGTGTGAATGGAAGAGTTGAATGGTTTTCTCTAGTTTAGCCCATGGGCTGAAAGACAGAAAGCTAAAAGTGTATGGCCAGATTTACTCCAACCTCTGAGGGGCAAGTTAGAAGATTAGCGGATGAACCTGGTGGATTTATTCCACAGAGATAGTTCAGACACTTTGATAGATAAAGCCCACCTACAGTAACAGTTGCACACGTTCAATGCAGAAGCCACATTTCTGAATAAATTACCTTCCAGACTTAAACAGGAATGTCATCACCAGTGCATGCGGTGCCCGGATTTTAGCTCCATACCTGAAGAAAAAATTCACGACAATCATTATTTCAGCATTATTTCATTTGCATCTAATCATCGTCACATCGCACCTGTATGGTTCAGGTGGCCGAAAAACACATATGCATTTTTGCCATGTTTCCAGGGCGTTTTTCACCTGACGTAACTGGAAAACAAAACTGCACATTTTCCCCATCCCATCCCCCAGTAGTAATGCCCCCTGTCCTCACACTGCCCCCCACCCCAGTGGTAGTGCTCCCTATCCCCACCCTCCCTCTCTCTCTCAGTGGTAGTGCCCCCTGTCCTCACACTGCCTCTCCCCCAGTGGTAGTGCGCCCTGTCCTCACACTGTGCCCCTCCCCCAATGTGGTAGTGCCCCCTGTCCTCACCCATCCTTCCCCCCAGTGGTAGTGCCCCCTGTCCTCACACTGCCCCTCCCCTAGTGGTAGTGCCCCCTGTCCTTCCCCCAGTGAGAATAGGGTTGCCACCTCATCCCTTTAAAACCGAAGACATATTCAGTACACAGGTTCTGTGGCTAATTAAGGTGGTAATGGAACTCACTTCGTGCCTTATCTGCATTACATTAGCCCCAGATCCCGTGCAATGAATATGTGTTCGGTTTTAAAGGGATGAGGTGGCCACCCTAGTGGTAGTGCCCCCTGTCCTCACACTGCTCCATTCCGGAATCCTTTGATCACGGCTAGGGCGGCTCGGTATCTCTTCCTCCTCAGCAGCTGATTGACAGCCCGGATGACAGAGCTCGGTAACACGGCCCCAGCCATTCTGACAGCCAGAGAACCTTGACACTTCCGGGTTCTTAACCCACGTGCGTTCCACCGGCTTACCAAAGGTCACGTTCATCCTTTAAAAGTCCCCGGAGAGCAACAGAGCTCACCGCATTCAGTTCCTCTTCCGGGATCTCTCACCTGGGTTCCGCAATTCACAGCCATTTCTGAGTTAGAATATAACATTGCAATAACAGTGCAGTTTCAATACCAGCGCAATACAATCCAATAGTTAAATGTACTAAAAAGTGGAGCTAAAAGAATTCGGGGTGTGTTTAGGAATGTAAATATTTTGGGGCTCGCTCACCAAGGCCTTGTTCACAACTTTCACGCCTGTCCTTTCCACACACGTTTCCAGCGTCACAGAAAAACGCGTGACACGCTTGTGGTGCTATTATTTCTTCATGATGCCTCACATGCGATGTGTTTTTTGTTGCAATTGTCATGTGACAAAACACGTGAAGATCGTAGCATGGCGCACACCACCAAATGCACCCGGCTTGGGGACAAAATTTGGGACATGACCTTCTGTGGTGCAACAAATGCACATAGGGTAGCCCATTCAAGGAACACGCAGAAACGTGCAAATTCCAAGCAGAAACGCACATTCCCGCTACGTGACGTGTGAATGGGGCCCAAGGCATTCTAATACACACGTTCACACCTGATTTTCTCTTTTTTTCCAATGCAGCACACCACAATGCACAGCGGCACGTGTCGTGGTGCCCTGCAACCCATGTGCTTCACAGGTTTGAGTGTTTTTGGTTAAAATTATTATTATTATTATACACAGTATTTATATAGCGCCAGTTTGCTCAGCGCTGTACATTATAATGGGAGACAATACATGAGACAATACAGTAACAATACAATAAAATACACCAGGGGTTCGAGGGCCCTGCTCCTTGGAGCTTACAATCTAGGAGGGAGGGGAGAGTGGTACAGGAGGAAATAGCTGTGGGGGATGGGGTGGTGGGGGAGAGCGGAGGAGATCAGCAGTTAGGTGAGGGCGGGGTAGGCTTCTCTGAAGAGGAGGGTTTTCAGGGTGCGCCTAAAGGTGAGGAGGGTAGGTGACAGTCTGATGGATTGGGGGTAGTGAGTTTCAGAGGATGGGGGAAGTCCTGGAGAAGTCCTGCAGTCGGGTGTGGGAGGTGGAGACCAGGGAGCTAGAAAGTAGGAGGTCTTGTGAGGAGCGAAGATTACGGGTTGGGTGGTAGATGGATATCAGGTCGGTGAGGTAGTTTGGGGCAGTGTTATGAACAGCTTTGCACGTCAGTGTTAGTATTTTGAATTTTATGCGTTGGGCAATCGGAAGCCAGTGGAGGGATTGGCAGAGGGGGGTGGCGGATACGGAGCGGTTAGTAAGGTGGATGAGTCTGGCTGCAGAATTCAGGATAGAGACTGAAGCGGGGATAGCCTGTGTTGGGGTAGGCCGGCGAGGAGGGAGTTACAGTAGTCAAGTCGTGATATAATGAGGGAGTGAATGAGTTGCTTTATAGTTTCTGGAGTTAGGAACGGACGTATTTTGGAGATGTTGCGGAGGTGGAGTCTACATGAATTTGTCAGCGATTGGATCTGGGGCTGGAAAGACAGATTGGAGTCTAGAATAACACCTAGTACTCTGGCTTGCGAGGTGGGGCTGATGGTGGCGTTGTTGCCTCCCCCCCCCCAGTGGTAGTGCCCCCTGTCCTCACTCCCCCCTCTCTCTCCTCCCCCAGTGGTAGTGCCCCCTGTCCTCACACTGCCCCTCCCCCAATGGTAGTGCCCCCTGTCTTCACACTGTCCCTCCCCCAGTGGTAGTGCCCCCTGTCCTCACACTGTCCCTCCCCCAGTGGTAGTGCCCCCTGTCCTCACTCCCCCCCTCTCTCTCCTCCCCCAGTGGTAGTGCCCCCTGTCCTCACACTGCCCCTCCCCCAATGGTAGTGCCCCCTGTCCTCACACTGTCCCTCCCATAGTGGTAGTGCCCCCTGTCCTCACACTGTCCCTCCCCCAGTGGTAGTGCCCCCTGTCCTCACTCCCCCCTCTCTCTCTCCCCCCCCAGTGGTAGTGCCCCCTGTCCTCACTCCCCCCTCTCTCTCCTCCCCCAGTGGTAGTGCCCCCTGTCCTCACTCCGCCCTCTCTCTCCTCCCCCAGTGGTAGTGCCCCCTGTCCTCACTCCCCCCTCTCTCTCCTCCCCCAGAGGTAGTGCCCCCTGTCCTCACTCCCCCCCCTCTCTCTCCCCCCCCCAGTGGTAGTGCCCCCTGTCCTCACACTGTCCCTCCCCCAGTGGTAGTGCCCCCTGTCCTCACCCCTCCTTCCCCCAGTGAGAATAGGGTTGCCACCTCATCCCTTTAAAACCGAAGACTTGGGGGGGGGGGGGGAACTAGGAGTTCGGTTTTGGTAAAACAGACCTTCTCTCCCAAAAAGGGAGTTCTTCCCTTCTAGTCCTTCCCCCGCAATGAGAAACTGTGTTTTTTTTGTTTACTTTCTTTAAAAAAATTTCCTCCAGCCCTCGCTGCCATTCTCACCTAGGCGTAAATGACGTGTCCCTGTTCCTGCAGCTCGCTGCACGTCACAGATTCAGTCATGTTTTAGGCCAGAAAGGATGCGATTCCATTAAAAGTGTTACTAAACCCACAACAGTACCATCAGACTAAAAAAAGTGAAAGCAAGTGAGCGCCATGAAACAAATGAGAAGCAGCTAGCACAAATGGTGAACCCCTTCATCCACAAACAAATAAATAGGAATACAAACAGTGCAGCGCTAGATACTATAGCTCATGAACATCCATTGTGATGCTCAAAATAACAAAACTCATACAATGAAAAAATGTATATATACACAAACGTAAGCGATGAATGATCAAATGAATAAACAGTCCAAAGTGAAATATCCTGTGGAATATAACAATGTGTCCTTAAAGATCAATGAGCGTGAAGTGACATCTGTGATAATCCTCCTCCACTATGCACTCACCAGAAATGGCAATATGTAACGCCTTGAAACAAATAATCTCGCAGAGGAATGTATGTCCCATCCACTATGAAAGAATCCTGCGATCTTGCAATGTGGGATCCTAGAAAAAATGCTCACAATACAGAGCCCGGAAACAGTGCCATATAGTGTAGTATTTATTGGAATAATAGACAGACAAAACCACGTGGAAATAAAACACAGCACCGGCACTTACAAAGGTAGCCGCTGGACCATCGAAATGGATGCAGCGGAATGACGTCAGCATGTAGGCTCCTCACTGACGCGTTTCGTGCACATGCGCGTTATCAAAGGGACCCACCTCTTACCTAGGTCTTTAAGGATCTTTAAGGACACATTGTTATATTCCACAGGATATTTCACTTTGGACTGTTTATCCATTTGATCATTCATCGCTTATGTTTGTGTATATATACATTTTTTTTATTATATGAGTATTGTTATTTTGAGCATCAAAATGGACATTCGTGAGCTACAGTACAATCAGTCTGTATATGCAGTAAAGCATGCTTGTTATACTCACTGTGGAACTAAGGGGTTAATCCTCACATTGTGTAAAAAGGCTGGTTGATCCTGTCTTCTCTGATCCCCCCCTTCTTCCAATGTCCCCCTTTTATCTGCTGATAAGACATATTGTGTGGAGTCACTCTGCACATGCTCAGTTTGGTGTGTATTGCTAGTGAGGTTTTTATTTTTCTTGGGAGAGTACATGTGATCAGCACAGGGCCAATCAGCACTGTCCAGACATAGGGTCCTCCAATCAGAGGAGAATGAAAACGCCTCCTACAAGCTTTAACTAGTGCTCTGCTGAACATGAGAAGTCACAAGACTGCTCTAACTGCTGATGAGAAATGGTTTTAGCAGTTTATATTTACTAAAATAATTGCATTTCCATGTTCTGTGTACTGTGTGAGACCAGATATAGTGAATGCAGGGTCCGGGGTTTAGTAACATTTTAAGGTGTATGGACGCCTCTCCTTGTGATTCTGCTGGCGGTATTGTGTTGGCAGCAGCAAAATCGTACACATGACATGGCCCCTGCCCCACCTGTGCATTACGTATTAAAGTGTTACTAAACCCACAACAGTAAAATCAGTCTGTATATGCGGTAAAGCATGCTTGTTATACTCACTGTGGAACCTAGGGGTTAATCCTCTGCATTGTGTAAAAAGGATGTTTGATCCTGACTTCTCTGATCCTCCCCTTGTTTAAGCGACCACCTCTTATCTCCTGATAAGACAGATTGAACCGTAGGCATTTTGCACATGCTCAGTTTGGTATGTATTGCTAGAAAGGTTTTTTTTTTCCTTGAGACAGTGCATGTGTACAGTACAGGGTCAATCAGCACTGTCCAGACAGAGGGCAGGGGATCTGCATTCTCCTAGAGCAGAAAGATAACTCCTCCTATAAGCTTTAGCTAGTGCTTGGCTGGACACTGATAGAAGTCACAAGACTGCTCTAACTTCTGATGAGAAAAGTAATTTAGCAGTTTATATTTAGTACAATAATTGCATTTCCATGTTGTGTGTACTGTGGGAGACCAGATATAGTGAATGCAGGGTCCAGGGAGACCAGATATAGTGAATGCAGGGTCCGGGGAGACCAGATATAGTGAATGCAGGGTCCGGGGAGACCAGATATAATGAATGCAGGGTCCGGGGAGACCAGATATAGTGAGTGCAGGGTCCGGGGAGACCAGATATAGTGAGTGCAGGGTCCGGGGAGACCAGATACAGTTGCAAGAAAAAGTATGTGAACCCCTTGGGATTACATGGAGTTTTGCATGAATTGGGCATAAAATGTGCTCTGAACGTCATCTAAGTCACAACAATAGAAGAATACAGTCTGCTGAACATAATACTACACAAACATTAGATGTTGCCATGGTTTAATTGCACATAACATGTAAACATTCACAGTGCAGGGAGGAAAAAGTATGTGAACCTTTGGACTTAATAACTGGTTGACCCTCCTTTGGCAGCAATAACCGCAACCAAACGTTTCCTGTAGTTGCAGATCAAAC